GGGGGGGTCCCTCCTGGGCAGGTTCGGGACTGGTACCGGTCTCTGCTGTGCCCCCGCTCTCGGCCCTACTCCGAGTTCACCAGTAACACCAGTAACACCAGTAACACCCGGGTGAGCCCCTCCCCCATCCCTCCCCCTCCCCCCGCCGGTGGGGGAGGGGCCACAACTGACCACCACCCCCCCCAAATTCCCCCTTTTCCAGGTGTCCCGCCCCCCCCCGGAGGCGTGACCGGAGCAGAGCGCGAGGATTTTTTGGGGGCAAAAAGGGGCGATTTGGGGTCGCTCGGCCCCTCCCCCCCAACGGCTTCAGCTGCCCCTCCCCCACCCCTGGATGCCCCTCCCCCACCCCCTTTTTGGGGGGAGGGGGGTCGCGAGAGCAATAAATGTGTGTTCGCGAGGGGGATTTGGGGTGAATTTGGGGTCACTCGGAGGGAATTTGGGGGGTTTGGGGTCACTTGGAGGGGATTTGGGGGCGTTTGAGGTGAATTTGGGGTGAATTTGGGGGGGTTGGGGTCACTTTGAGGGGATTCGGGGAGGTTTGGGGTGAATTTGGGGTGAATTTGGGGTCACTTTGAGGGGATTTGGGGGGGTTGGGGTGAATTTGGGGGGGTTGGGGTCACTTTGAGGGGATTGGGGGGAGGGTTGGGGTCACTGAGGGAATTTGGGGTCAATTTGAGGGGATTTGGGGTCACTTTGAGGGGATTTGGAGGCGTTTGGGGCTCACTTTGAGGGGATTTGGGGGGGTTGGGGCTCACTTTGAGGGGATTTGGAGTGAATTTTGAGGGTCTTGGGGTGAATTTGGGGGTTTTGGGCTGAATTTAGGGGGTTTGGGATTAATTTGGAGGGTTTTGAGGTGAATTAGGGAGGGTTGAGGTGAATTTTGGGTTGGATTGGGGGAGTTTGGGGTGAATTGGGGGGGGTTTGAGGTGGATTTGGAGGGTTTTGGAGTGAATTGGGGAGAATTGGAGTGAATTTTGAGGGGGTTTGGGGTGGATTTGTGGGGGTTTGGGGTGGATTTGTGGGGTTTTGGAGTCAATTTGGGGGGGGTTGTGGGGTTTTTGGGGGGGTTGGGGGGGGTTTTGGGGGTTCTGGGGGTTTGGGGGAGGGTTAAATTGTTGGGAAAAAAGTGGGAAAATCGGGATGTGGGTCAGCAATTCCAGGATTTCTCGCAGATCCAGGGGTGGGGGTTGGAACAAAGGTCGTTGTTCCAGAAGCCTTTGGGGTCGATGATCCCACAATTCTTGAGATCCTTGTCCTTGTCCCCCTCCTTGCCCAAAATTGTCCAAAAACTTGGGGAAAAAAACGGGGAAAAACAGGGAAAAGGGGCGGGAAAAAACGGGAAAAGGAGGAGGAGAAAAGGGGGGAAAGAGGGAGGGAAAAGGAGGAGGAAAATTTCCTGATTATTTCCCATTTTTGAGGATTTTCCCAATAATTTCCCGATTATTTCCCATTTTCGAGGATTTTCCCAATAATTTGATTTTTCCCAATAATTTCCTAATTATTTCCCATTTTTTGAGGATTTTCCCAATAATTTCCTGATTATTTCCCATTTCTGAGGATTTTCCCAATAATTTCCTGATTATTTCCCATTTTCAAGGATCTTTCCCAATAATTCCCTGATTATTTCTCATTTTTTAGGATTTTTTCCAAAAATTTCCTGATTATTTCCCATTTTCGAGGATTTTTCCCAATAATTGGATTTTTCCCAATAATTTCCTGATTATTTCCCATTTTCAAGGATCTTTCCCAATAATTCCCTGATTATTTCTCATCTTTTAGGATTTTTTCCAATAATTTCCTGATTATTTCCCATTTTCGAGGATTTTTCCCAATAATTTCCTGATTATTTCCCATTTTTTAGGATTTTTCCCAATAATTTCCTGATTATTTCCTGTTTCTGAGGATTTTCCCAATAATTTCCTGATTATTTCCCATTTCTGAGGAATTTTTCCAGTAGTTTCCTGATTATTTCCCATTTTTGAGGATCCTTCCCAATAATTTCCTCATTATTTCCCATTTTTGAGGATTTTCCCAATAATTTGATTTTTCCCAATAATTTCCTGATTATTTCCCATTT